TTGTCAAGATGGCATGTTGCTTCAGTTTTATTTCATGTATTTTTTATACTTTGTTCCCATCCTCAAACCATTGTGTAATGCTCTCTGTCCTAACCAGAAATATAGAAAATAGGAGCGTCAGTTGGCCATTCAGCCCTTTGAGCCTGCTCCACCATTCAAAATGATCATGGCTGATTGTCCAATTCAGTACCCTGTTCCTGCTTTCTTACCATACCCTTTGAACCCTTTTAGCCCTAGGAACTATCTAACCTCTCCTTGAAACCATCAATGTTTTGGCCTCAACTGCTTTCTGTGGCAGAGAATTACTCACTGCTCACTGCTGAAGAAATTCCTCCTCATTTCAGTTCTAACTGGCCTACCCTGTATTCTTAAACTGTGACTCCTGATTCTGGACTCCCTCTAAATAATTTGAAATGTTTCATTTTGATGGGCTAACAAATGTGTGTATTATTGGGTCTTTAGCCATTATTTCATAGAATCCTTACAGTGTGGAAACAGGCCATTCAGCCCAACATGTCCACACTGACTCTCTGAAGACCATTCTACCCAGACTCACTTACCTATTCTATCCCTCTAACCCTGCAGTTGCCATGGCTAATCCACCTAACCTTACACATCCCTGGACACTATGGGCTATTTAACATGGCCCGTCCATCTAACCTGCACATCTTTGGACTGTGGGAGGAAATCCACACAGACACAGGGAGAATGTGCAAATTCCACACAGACAGTCACCCAAGGCTGGAATTGAACACAGGTCCTTAGCACTGTGAGGCAGCAGCGCTAACTACTGAGCACCATGCAATACTGTCTTGATTGTGATGTTGGCATGGTAACATTCTGTTGCCAGGAGTTGCAAATCTGTAGTGCTTGGAATTATGGGTATTAAATCTGCATATGTTTTGAGTGGTTTGTTTTTGATTCATTTCTGTTATTTCTGAGGATTCTTCTGTCATATGCTTGATGCTTTTTGCAACGTTTTAATGTTGGCAGAATTGTTGAGCTCTCATAAATGGAATTTTATTGCAGTATAATAATGACAGGAGAGTGGAGTCTCACAATGTGATCAGTTCAGTGACAACTGAAGTAGTTCCATCGGGTTATTGGCATTATACTGCCCAGGTGCCACGTCCATTGTATAAATACGGACCATCACCATTATTCACATGAAGATAAAATGCTTTAATCAGCACGTTAACCTCACTAGCTAATGAACTTAAAGTTTGAAGGTGAATGTAAATAATCCTAGGTATCGATTGGGGAAAAAATGGAAAGGAATGAAGGAATGGCTGAGGTGAGGTTGCTCAAAACTTTGGGGTTCGTTGTCTCTTGTGGACTCTGGGTTTTGCAGTCAAAGCAGAATCGCGTGGTTTCTTTGAAATGAACAGTAAAAATTTAGTGCTATGTGGAACTTTTCTTCCTGTTAGGTGTTGGGATAGTAAAATAAATATCAAGAAGGACTTCTAGTTTTCTTTGTCTCCTCTCTCCTGCGCATGCACAATCCTCCTCCACCACCCCCACCCCCCAAACCAAAACCAAGTCACTTTGCAAGGTTTTTTAATGACAGTGCAGTTTTGTTAAAGCTCATTTTTCCATTTTTTTGACCGAGTAGCCGTGTTTAACCCAAGAATGTCATGGCCATTTATATTGCCCCTACCACCTCTTTAAGCATTAATCAGCTAACACACCACAGAGCTCAGATTGACCAAGTAATATTCCAGTTTGCACAGCTCATTGCACAGTGAATTTATTTATTGAGCAACCATGAGATCTCCGTAATACATTTCCTAACAGTTTACCATAGTCACTTGTCACACTGAGTCCTTCACATACTAAATTTATTGTGCACGGTGAGAGATTTGAGATTTGTTTGGAATTGCTCCACTTGTTGATAGAGGAACAGTTCCTGTAAAGGTGATGGAAACAGATTCAATAGTAACAATCAAAAGCAAATTGGATAAAGACTTGATAAGAAAAATGTGCTGTGCTGTGGGAAAAGAGCCAAGGAATGGAACTAATTGGATAACTCTACCAAAAACCTATCACAGGAATGATGGAGCAAATGGCACTTTGCAAGGTTTTTTAATGACAGTGCAGTTTTGTTGTGCTGTTTCATTTTATGCTTCTTTGGTTATATTCTAGAGACGCAAATTGAAAGTTTTACAGAGTCTAATAGTTTCAAATGCTGATTTCAATACTTGCTACTGTTGGTAGGTTTGTGCTGATATAGGCACCATGAATGCACTGTTTTTTTAGAATATAGGCAACATAAAAATCATATTTTTTGAGCGTAGATTGGGCTCATTCTTATTTTACAATATGCACTGACGTACAATCAGAATAATTGCAATGTGTGTTGGTCTATCTCTTGACCATTTTGGGCTTTGAATTGTACAAGTGTAATCTGTTTGTTCATTGTCATTAATTTGGATCAATATCTGTAATCTTAGGAAAGTGTTTATATGGTTAAAGCTGTTGAGTAGGTATAAGATGATCACTTTTGGATCATTATTGTTGGATTGACTTATACTGACAGTTTGTAATACTGTTAGACTGCAGTCATGCCTGCTTCTCCTTTATAAGAGCCAATGGACCACCCCATCCTCTCATATTCCTCTGCAATCCACGTCCAAGACATTGTTCACATTTGATTAAGACAGCAGATATTCTGTCATCGAGAAATCTAGCTTTAATTCCCAGTGGAAGGGACTACCGCAATTCCTGTCTCTTGTGCAGCTGCGGAAATCCTGATTCATGCCTTTAGAGACACTGCACCTCAAGATGATAATATAATCTAAATGTTGACCCCTACCTTCAAACATGATACAAGCCAATGTAATCCATACCCACAAAAAATCCTACACCTTCATAACCATGGCCTTGCCGAAGTCCTTTTATATCCAATGTCCCAACTGATTTCAACATAATCTTATATTTAAGATAGCTCCATTGTCTTGTTCCACCATAAATAAATGAGATACACTCGCCATATATTATTGGATATGCCTGCTATTTCCTGATATTTCTGTTGGTAGTACTGAAGCTTACAGCGATTATGCCCTTACCCTCTGAACTTATTTCCCCAACTCTATTGTTGCCTCCATCTCAAAGGCCTCATTTAAAAAAAGTTCTCGATCATTTATTTAGTCTGTTTTCTACTCTTTCTCAGAATCTATTTTCTTTACCACCTTGTAAAGCAGTTTCTAAACCTGCTTGTTTGTGATACTTGGTGTTGAAATATAAGTTGAATAGCTACTCAGGTTTCCAATTTCAGGGCACTTTCCTGGAAGGTGATGGTTAATACTGGCACATCCACTATTGTCTTTTGTGAACATCTTTCAGGTGTGCTGCTCAGAAGAGAATTAGAATAGTTGAGTAACAGAAAGTAACAGAAACATCAGTGAAAGTTTCAGCAGCAGATGGATTGAAGCTGGATGCAGATGAATAATATTGCACAGTTGAAAATCACTGAACTTGATGATGTGTACAGGGGTGTAAGCTCGGCTCAGGGTCAGATAGAATACCAAAGTTATGAGCAATCTAGTTTAACCTCAGATACTGACAGCTGAAGTAAAACGGAATCGGTGATGATGGAGTTGAAGACACTGGCTTCAGTTTTCAAAATATTTAATTGAAGAATGAATTTCCGCTCATGTAAAATAAAATCAAAAATCACACAACGCCAACAGGGTTTATTTGAAACCACAAGCTTTCAGAACGCAGCCCCTTCATCTGGTGTGAGTGGAATTCACTCCACCCACACCAGTTGTATGATCTTTTGATGTCTGTGCCCTTCATCTGTCTACCTATAAACTCTGTGTCTGTGTGCTCTTCTCTCACTACACCTGATGAAGGGGCTGTGCCCTGAAAGCTTGTGATTTCAAATAAACTTGTTTAACTATAACCTGGGTGTCGTGTGATTTTTGACTTTGTCCGCCCCAGTCCAACACTGACATCTCCACATCATGTAAAAACCAGATGCTGGACAGACAAGATGACAAATTGAGGCATTGGAGAGTTTGAGAGAAGTGATAGCAAAGTGGACCTGTCTTGTCAGCATAAATGTGGAATCTGAGTGTATTTGATATTGTTGAAGGGCAGCAAGTAAAAGAAAAATAAGATGGGGCCCAGAGTAGATTTCTTTTGGACTCCAGAGATAATGGAATGAGAGCAGGTGAAGAAACAATTGCGGTCATGGGGCTTTCAAAATGGGTAACAAGCCATTGTCTGGAGCAGTTAGAAATCAACGTGACTGCCTTACCTCAAAGTCTGATTTAGGTCTTGCTTGAACAGTTTTTCTGCTTCGGTTGTCATTTTTGAAAATAAACAAAGTTAGACACAAGCAAATAAATCACAACTACGTAAAATATGAGTCATTGGCTCATAGCAAATTAGTTACAAAATGTTGGTCTGACTCGCAGAAAAGTAGTTATGGAGCTGTAATGCAAAAGTACAAACTAATTATACGTTTGTAAAATGTCATTTTAATGCTAGTGTAGGTAGGAGTAGGTTGAAGCATTATCTCTAGAGCCTACACTCTACCCTCTGTTCAAAATTTATCTTGGTGAGTGTGTCAAATGTCCACCTGATGTAACCATTGAGCAGTTTAGCATTATTTTCTGATAGTTATGCATTGGTAGCTGATTGTTTGATGGTAAATCATTTGAAGTGGTCATAAGAATGTCAAGTGTTTGCATCTGCTTCATAAGCCATATTAGCAGTTATGAGTGCTCTCCTGAAGTACGGTTAGGTGTGTTCATGGGCAAGGGAGTGAGCAGTTTGCTCCCTTATGTATTTAATTCTGCACCGTCAGCATTCCTTGTCCTTAGGAGCAACAGAATTACATTTTGATTTCTTAAAACATAAAGCTTGGTGCTGGAAGAGAAATGGCCCACAGACTGTGTGGTTTTCAACATGTGAAATGTGTGAAAATGTCTAGTTTTTCTAGAGCAAAACTACATCATTGACTAGATATTGAAAATGTGGTTTCCAACTCTTAGAGCAAAGATGCAAGACCTTGGACAGGACCATCACTATCAATACTTCTTCGAGATCTACGTCACATACAGAACAGTAAGGAGAGATCTGCTAAACTCTTTGAATGGTTAATAGCACCTGTTGCTCCAAAAAAGTTTTTCAGGTAAATATGTGCAGAGCAGTCAAAAACGTGTAACTGCTTATGATACACTATCTTTTTAAAATAACGGTGCCTGAAATAACCTTTCTTAACTGGATTGAAGTGAAATAAATTAACTGTCATAAATCATTTGCAAATCAGTGCTTATTTGAAATTGTAATTGTCAGAGGTTTTTGCTGGATGGCAGTTTGTCCTCAAGCTGTATATTAAGTCTGTACTTTTTCGCATTTAGATAAAGATTGTAATTGTTGCAGGGGCAGAGTAATTGCATTTCTTGTATGGAGAAATAAAAGCCTCTTAATAAGGTCTATTCTAATTTTTCCATTCTATCAATCTTCCTAGATTGGATCACTTGTGTTTAGTGAGTGATCTGCTTATATTGCTACATTTTGCATACATTTTAAGGATGTACACTATGGGTCCAGAGTTGAATTGTGTTCTGATTCATGATTAGACCATTTTTATTTCTCACTAATTGCTTTGAAAACTCCATCTGTTAAATCCAGCAAAGTCTACATGACAGCCTCTTGAGCTCCGACATGGCTGCAAAGTTTGTGAACCTTGAACCTTGATTCTTTCCAGGTGCAGCACTCCACAAAATGGCCAAATTCACTAAGTTAGACTGAAATACTGATGTCATGGGAGATTACACTGCACAAGCTGGAAGCAAATGTTTTCAGCCATTGTGTAATTTCTTGCATGTCTTCTAGTATGTGTAGCAAGCAGATTTTGTGGCTGAACCCTCAGGATGATAGCAGATTTTAATTTTGTGGTGACATGCGGGAGAGGTTCAGAAGTGAAGTTAAATTATTCAAAAATATTGTAAAACACAAATGTCAATGTACACGGCAACACAAAAGTGCATACTTTCAATTTGCATTTCCCCACAATCTCTGTCCCTCTGTTTCTGTTACCCATGATCTCTCGGAGTCTCTGTTTGCAAACACGTGAATGTTAAATAATTACTATACAGGAATCTAACAGTAGAAACTGCACAAGATTAGTTTTTTCCTTCTCCTTTTAAGTTATTACCTCGAGTAATGACTGTTACGGTCACTACTTGCTTGTTAGATCTACCATCTCTTTTGGACTGCAGTCTGGCATTTTTTTATTCCTGGTGATGGACAATTCTCTGACGTTAAGTAAGGCCATAACTAGAAAAGTGAAATTGCAAATCAAGCTGTTGTAAATCCTCTGATAATCAGGCTTGCCTTTTGGCCTATGAATCACATTTGTTTCTGAAAACTTTAAAAGAAAGAAAGAATGTTAGAATGTGGGAGGAAGAGATCAGCCATCTTCTGACACTTCTTAAATAATTTAAATAGGACAGCATTTATATGGAAGGACCTTTGATTTGATTATGTTGGGCAGATGAATAGGTAATATTTTTAATTCCTGGAGCACATTCAAAATTTACATAATATATACTTGTTAAATTGAGGCTTAACTTTTGTTGCATTTTTCATTTCAGCGACATTTGGGAAAAGACCCCAGCTTTGATTAGGCGTCACAATGGCAACTACTACAAAGGATTATTTTCCTCAGAAGATTTTGACAGAATTCTGAGAGAGGTAAGCTCACAAAGTACCTTTTTTCACAAGTTCTGAACAATATAAAGCTTGCAGAACAACTGTTCGCTATAGTTGTCTTAATAACTGGTACATGCAGCTCGATTCCTCTCTTCTGTCTCTGTCTGTCTCTTCTGTCTTGTCTCATCTGTCTGTCTGTCTCTTCTCCCCCAATCCGGGAGAAGGAGGAGCCCGCCCATGGCCCTGATGGCTGCCCTACATGATCATTGCTTAAAATAGCGTTAACACTGCCACCCTTTCCTCCAGAGGAATTCTCATCTTAGCCATTCAAATAAATCAATAGCTCTGTTTTAGCAGGATTGTTGGGAGCCACCGCATAGATTAGAAGCATTTTGCAATACCAGGTACTCTGGACTGAGAGTCAGGTCTGGGGGGGCTGGGCTGAGGAGGCCCAGTGGAAAGGCTAAATGGAGGATTACTTTGGGCTGAGTGCCTATGGCCCTGGGGAGCCCTAAAAGATGTTTAAGTGGCCATTAGTAGACCACTTAAGGGCCCCAAAGGCACAAAGGTGGGCAGGCCACCTGACACCTTTCTGCTCCACCTCTTGATCCTTCAAAACAAAATTCCAGATGGGTCAAGGGCAGGTGGGTAGTTGTTAGGAAGATCATTTGCTGGAATTTATCTGCCTGCAGCGAGTGCAAAATCTAACCTGTGTTCATTTTTCAGGTTGCCATTTGAAAATTGTAAGACTATTTAACATCAGACTCAGAATCGTAGATTAGCCTGTCATGTCTGTTCCACCTCTCTGCATGATCAGTTCATCTAGTGCAATGCTCCCATTCTTTTCCCTTAGCACTGCAAATTTCTCCTCTTCAGACAATGATACAGTTCTCTTTGAAAACAGTGATTGAATATGTTTCCATCACAGTCTCAGTCAGTTTATTCCAGATTTTGACCACTCGCTACATAAAAAGATCTTTCCTCCTGTTGCCATGAGTTCATTTGCCAGCTACTGTGGTACCTTCTGGTTCTTGATCCTTCCAGCACTGAGAATAGGTTCTCACTTGCAGTTTGGATAACAGTGTTAACAAGCTAAATGCACTGGCATTTGCTGGCCTTTCCTGAGGGAGAGTGGATGCTTGTAAGTCCAGAAAGAAACTGGGATGTTTTCCTTTGATTCTGATTGGACTCTGCTATCTGCATAATGATATGATGAAGGGATACTGTGAGATCATTTACAGGTGGCCTATGTAATCCTACTAAATGTGGAATGTTTCTTAATACAGCTGTAATGTTCTCCTGGGACTTATGTGATCAAAACACGATCGTATTCAAGCACAGATTTTCAATTTACCGGATCACTTCACATTCACTTCCGTGATAAGAAAAACCTCATTCAAATAGAACATTTTCGCAAAATGCCGATGTTTCTCCACTGTCCGTTAGACTGAATATTGTTATTTCCTAATCTCACCCAAAGACAAGAACAAAGATAGTGGCATTATTCACACCACAGCTCTATACTTTTTAATTTCTCTAGCAATGTTTTAGCACTTATAGCTAAGGTTAAATCTCTAAATAGCCATATTTTTACCCTAAAGATAACTATTTTAACTATGGGAATTACTCATACTTTACTATGTCCTGAGTACCCGTGTTTTTTTAGTTCTATCTTGAATAATAAACAGTAGCAAAATGAAATGATCTGACTTTATTATCCAAGGTTCCCATTTTGGGGTGTACAGAGAGTGAGCAGGAATCCATTTTACAACAAACTGCAAGTTAAAAGGAGATTTGATTGAGTCATTTTGTTTCCAGTGACTGAGGGGTCAATAATTAGAGGAAATTCAAACAAACCAAAGGCGAGACAAAAAAACTTACACTTTTGAATTATGTTGATCTATAATGCATTGTCAAACATATTGGTGGAAGCAGATTTAGTAATAACTTGCAAAAGGAATTTTGATAACTACGGGAGAGGAAAACAATTGCAGCAACATGTGAAAAGTGCAGGGGATTGGGACTAAATAGACATTGTAATGGCATAGTCATGAAGGATCAAACGACTTTCTCCTGAGTGTGTATCATTCTATGCTTTTATTATAATTGGAGAGCAAATGAAACAAACCTGCTATTCTCTCCAGATGTGTTTTGTGCCAATTAAGATCCTCATTAAATTCCAACAATTCTGACAGTCCTAAGTACTGATTACAGAATTATAAAGACAAAGCTGCTGTTCTATTCTCTTTCTTATCCTTAAATCCTGTACAATATTGTGTTATACTGGCCATCATGTGCAGAGGGTTGTTTGTATTCATTCATATGTTATTAGCATGAGGATTGTACTGATTTTAATGAAACTACTTCTGCATGGACTTGAATAGCTGAATATGTGTATGATGCAACATTATTTAGCTCAACTTCAATTTCAAACACTGTTTTATTGTTGGTTTGTTATTTTAAAGGACCATGTTAATTTTGGAGTAAACCTTGATGTAACAAGTTACTTTGATGGGGAAAAAGAAACACATACTCCTACTGGCAGGGCGTTACCTGTAGTGGTATGGGACTTTTACAAGGTAAGCAAAATGTGTGTGCTGAAAGAAGAGATTGTTTCAAACTATAAATTTAAATGCATTTGCCAGCTGCTCTTTGTTTTAAGTGTGTGAGAGGTTGAGCAAGGAAAATGTGGTAGTGCTATCACATTTAAAGAAGACCAGTCTCATTGGAAGGCTGTGCTGTAAAATTACTCACATTGAAAAGGATTGGGATCAATTAGGTAATAATTCCTTCAATCTAATGTCAGGCTAAATTCTGCAGAATGTTCACTTCTCACTGATTAACAACTCAGCTGGATCTAAAAAGGTAGCCATTGTTGGCTTGTGAGGTGCAATGAAAGATGTACTTCTACAAGCTTCCAGGAAGGGCCTTGTGTCACAGTGTGGGTTCAACAGTGTGTTAACTTTGTGGCCAAATAGTGTTCCTGTTGATAACTTGCTGACATGGTGTGCTTAGGAAAAGTGCCCACATGGTATGCATTAGGTAAAATGTCAGTAATTTTCAGTGTAAGAGCTGTTGTGATACAGTGGTAGTGTCCCTACCTCCTGGGCCAGTGAGGCCCAAGCTCACGTCTCACCTACTGTAGAAGTGTGTAATAACATCTCTGAGCAGGTTGTTTAGAAAATATCTGAGTCTTAAGTATTTGGACTCTTGTGGTGCAGTGTCATGTCCCTACCTCTGAACCAGTAGGCCTGGATTCAAGTCCCGTCTGCTCCAGAGATGTATCATAACATCTCGAACAAGTTGCTTAGTAAATAACTGAATCTTCAGTGTTCTGCTATATTGTGCACGCTCTAATCACTAGCCTCAGCAGTATGACCAGCTTCCAATGCTGTGAAACAGAGTTGAATTTTATCACCCCCAGATGACAGGAGCAAAGGTGAATCATTTGGGAAAATATGGCAAGATCAGATAAATAAAATTCATGAATTTGAGGAAAAATGTCCAATTCTGCAACCATTTTTTGAATAGTGAGAGACATGAATCTCGCTAGTGAGCAGTGAGAAGGTAATTTATATCTGTTTAGATGTCATAATTAACCAATCTTGCTTCATTTATGCAAAAACAAAAATTGCTGGAAAAACTCAGCAATCTGGCAGCATCTTAGAGAGTAAACAGATTCTTTGGGATCCAGTGACCCTGCTTCAGAACTGATAGTAGATAGGAAAAGGTTGATTTTATAAGATATTTATAAGTTTTTGTTTCTGATTTTCAGCATCTGCGGTTCTTTTTGATGTTGAGAAACTTGAAAGGGTTCAGAATAGATGTACGAGGATATTGCCAGGTTTGAGCTGTAGAGAGAGGCTGAATAGGCTGGGGCTATTTTCTCTGGAGCATCGGGAACTGAGAGGTGAGAGGTTTGAGGGGCATGATCGGGTAAAGAGCCAAGGTCTTTTTCTCATGGTAGGGGAGTTCAAAACTGTTTCTCAATCTCTCATGTGCCAGAAGGATATTAGATGGCAGTAATTCCTGACGTGAAAATCCTTCTGGGTATCTGGCGGCGATTCCTTGCGCTACATCTGCGACTTACTTAGAATGCGGTTTCCCACTTCGATACTGCTCTTTGAAATGCACAAACAACGCTCATTGAAATATTGCTGTTAGGCCACTGTACACAGGCACAGACATCCATCTCCTGGATTTGCATACAGTGCGTCTCCGGGCTTCTTGCTTGCTCTATTTACACTCATTCGCTTTGCACCTATTAGGATATCCATTTCATCTCTGCCAAGCCTTGCCTTGCCTTTTTGCACTTTGCCACTTAATTTAGAACATACAGGCTCAGTGCTTCTGTCTTGCTTTGCCATTTAGTGCAGGTGCAAAACCAGGCATTTTGTCATAGTTGTATTCAGTCAAGGTAGCAGGGAGACAGACATGTTGCACCATGTAGCACTGTGCCACATCGGTGTCATATCTACAGCATATGTCCGCAGCTTACACAGCAAAAGCACTGCATATGCTTCAGCTAAATGGCCATGTCTCAAATCTAAGAGGATTAGTCCTTGGTCAAGTCAAGGGGATTGTCTTGCAGCAGTCAGTCCACAGTCTTGGATATGGTCACTCAAACAGTTGGGGCAGTCAGGTGTTCCAAATCCCTACAGTCTAGGGAATCGCTCCATGGTCAGCCCCGGAAGTCCGATTTAACCATTCAGTCTAAGGCCTGGTCACTCATCAGCCAGGGCTATTAATCCAAGTTTGTCGGGGAGTGATCGTTGTCAGTCCTGAGGGCCAGTCTGCTCAGTGAAAGCCATGGGCAGTTTCTGGGGGCCACTGCTGGGTGGACAAGCTGGGGAAATGAATTGTGACAATTAGAAGTGGCATGTTGAGATGCAGAGGAGATAATAATTGTGAAAGAGGGCATCTGACTTAAAAAAGGTGGGAGATGAAAGTGCATTGGAGAACAAGAGATGCTACAAGCGTGAGAGTAAGAGGAAGCTCAGAATATAATGTCTTCAATGCCATTTTTTCTAGAGGAGCAAGGTGCATTTATACTACAGACTGAGGATATCCCAGGACATCATCACATGCTGGAGCAGGACTCTTGACCTGAAGAGATCATACAACTTCATTTTGTTTCGCTGTGATGCAGATAGTGCAGCAACCGGGCAGAAGGCTTTGCCAAATTGGCTGGCTTCCCCCAGATGCAGGGCACTATGTTCACATGTTGCATTGAGAGCATCATATAATGCAACAAGCTTCATCAATGGGGAAAGGTTTCATTTCATCAATGTACAAGTCTGATCATTGTTGAAGCCTGCATCAGGTATTGTGGAAGCCACCAGGATGCCTGTATCCTTGAGAATTCTTCATGGTCCTCCTTTGTTACATGGGTCAGATGCCTTGCAAAGATGTTACTGGGAGACAAGAGCTTTCCTCTGCGACCATGGTTGATGACTCCAAGCAGCCTTCTGACTAAGGCAGAACTCCGATATAAAGTAGCTCATTTTTCAACCAGGGCAGTCGTGGAGCAGATGATAGATCTGCTCCAAATGAGGCTCTGATCAATGTTCCCTATAATTTTCTTTCCGCTGCACGGACCTCGAAGTGGAAGCTAATTTGTCAGCGTGACAGTTGACATGTGCGGAGCTCGTAGTAGCTGCACAGCTTAGAGGGAACATGCTTGGGTCGGTGTACATTTCAGAGAGTGTGTCACATAACCCATGAAAGAGCTAGGAGAATGGCATTGGTATTTTGAGGAGGACATTGAGTATGAGGAACATCACCTTCAGCACGATAGAGCAGTATAGCTTCGGGCACGACAAGCCAGATTGACTTAATTGACACCCAATTCCAATTCATGGGAGCTGGGTACAGTGATCATTAATTGAAAGTAGATTTGACAAATGTAACTTGTATTTGCAATTGACTGTCATCTCAGAAGCAGTGAGGGCACCTCCTGGTTGACTGTACTTCACCCAGGGCACACCTGGACTGTTTATAGAATGCACCACCAGGAATCCTGGGAGGAGCTGGTAGTGGCAAGTAATTCTACCATTGGTGTGTGCACAGTAGCCCAAGCAGGGTGCTGTAGAAGTGTGGTGTGCACATGATGAGGTGAGTCTCAGAGAATTGTAAGAGAACTTGCTAGAGGTCACAGGAAAACCCTGCAAGAAACTCCCTACAACTTGATTTGGTTTGATTTATTATTATCACATGTACTGAGGTACAGTGAAAAGTGCTGCCTACGCGCTTTACAGGCAGATCGTACTATACAAGTGCAGGATTCAATGTTACAGCTGCCAAGAAGATGCAGGGAGAGAAATCAACATTAACATAAAAGATCTGATAACAGCAGGGAAGAAGCTGTTCTTGAATCTGTACGTGTTTATAAACTTTTATATCTTCTGCCTGACAGGAGAGGGTGAAAGAGAGTATAACTGGGGTGAAAGAGGTCTTTGATTTTGTTGGTTGCTTTCCCGAGTCAGTGGGGAGTATAGATTAAGTCACTGGATGGAAGGCTGGTTTGCATGAGGGACTGGCCTGTGTTCACAATTCTCTTTAGTTTCTTTCAGTCTTGGGAAGAGCGGTTGACATACCACGCAATGATGCATACAGGTAGGATGCTTTCTTTGGTGCGTCTATAAAAATTTGTAAGAGTCCTTATAGATACGCTGAATTTCCTTAGCCTCCTGAGGAAGTGGAGGCCTTGCTGTGCTTTCTTGACCGCAGCGTCGATGTGTGTAGGCCAGGACAGATCATTGGTGAACATCACTCCCAGAAGCTTGATTCTTTCGACCATCTTCACCTCAGCACCATTGATTCAGACAGCGTGCACTCCATTCCACTTCTGAAGTAAATGATCAGCTCCTTCATTTCGCTGATGTTGTGGAGAGATTATTGTCCTTACACCATGCTGTCTCCTTCCTCTACTCTGTCTGGTCATTGTTTGAGATTCAGCCAACAACCGTGGTGTCATCAGCAAACTTGTAAATGGAGTTGGTGCGGAATTTGGCTGCACAGTCATGTGTGTATAGGGAGTACTGTAGGGGGCTGAGTATGCAGCCTTGTGGGGCACCGGTTTTGAGGATTATCGTGCAAGAGGTGTTGTTATCTCTCTTTACTGACTGTGGTCTGTTGGTGAGGAATTCAAGAACCTAGTTACATAGGGGGAGCGAGACCTTAAATTGACACTAAGCCGATTTTTATTTTGTAATAACACACAATAAAACTCTAAAATGTTTTAAAAAATTCATTTGCAGCATGTAAGCATTGCTTGCTGAGTCAGCATTTATTACCCATCCTTAGTTTGTCCTTGAGATGAAGGTGGTGAGCTTCCTTCTTGAGCCACTATAGTTCATCTGTTGTAGGTCAACCCAAAGTGCTGTTAGGGAGTGAGTTCCAGCATTTTGACCCAGTGACATCAAAGGAACAGCGATATATTTCCAAGTCTGGATGGTTAATGTTTGTGGATGTGACTCCCATCGGGTGTGCTTCTTTGTCCTGGATGGCGTTAAGTTTCTTGAATGTTGTTGGAGCTGCCCTCATCCGGTTACACAGGGAGTATTCCATCATACTCCTGACTTGTGTCTTGTAGATGGTGGACAGGCTTTGGGAATTTAGGAGATGACTTAACTTTCTTAACTGCAAGATCTGAACTTCTCTCATAACCACGGTACTTGTGTGGCTAATTCAGTGGAGTTTCTGGTCAATCATAACTCCCAGGTTGTTGGTAGCGAGGGATTCAGTGATGGTGATGTCATTGAATGTGAAGGAGCAAGGGTTACATTCATTCTTGTTGAAGATGGTCATTGCCTCGCACTTGTGGCAAGTGAATGTTACTTGCCACTTGTCTGCCCAAACTTGAATATTGTCAAGTCTTGCTGCATTTGGGCATGGACGATTTCAGTATCTGAGAAGTCACAAATGCTGCTGAACATTGTGTAATTGTCAGTGAACATCCCCACTTTTGACCTTATGATAAGAGGGAAGGCCACTGCTGAAGCAGCTGAAGATGTTTGTGTCAAGGACACCACCCTGAAGGACTCGTGCAGAGATGTCCTGGAGCTGAGATGACTGACCTGTAACAACCACAGCCTTGAATAAGTGTTATTGTTCCCTTACTGCCCAAAAATGCAAGCTATGGATGTAATGCAGTTATTTTTGTCAATTTTATGCAGATTCAGCTTGTCAGCTTTGGAATCTGGCTCTTTTGTTTTTGCCATTACCTAGAAAAGAATGGAGTGTCATGCCCAAAACAGATTAGATAAGAGCTGCTTTAGAGACATTTACAAGTTGTTCATCTGTTCCGTTGGCAGATGTGCTCTTACTTTATATGCATGTCTGGAACTGGATTCAAGCCAGAGATAAATATGGATAAGTTTTCAGATCAGATTTTTTGTTTATTGCTGTGTTTCTAGGAGGTATTTATGATCCATTAAACTGTTCTCTTTTAGGATTGAGCTGAACTGGTCAGGGAATTAACTATTTAACACTGTATATTAATTTCTTTGGCAGAATGGATGTTCTTTGCGGCTGCTGAATCCTCAAGCCTTTTCCGGCACTGTTTGGAATATACTGTCTATTCTTCAGGAGTCTTTTGGGAGCATGGTTGGGGCTAATGTGCAAGTATCTCTTATTTTTCTTTTTGTTTTGTGTCAATACCTATTAGTAAATGAGTGGAAGATTCCAGTTCTGTTTAAAGGACAACTGCGGGAAAGCAAACCAAAATTTTTATATCTGAATACCTAATTGTCACTGTGGTCCAAAAGTAAAGTGCTAAGTGCAATGAAAAATTCTAATCTGTAGCGATGCTACATCATTTCAAATATGAATGTAATTTTTATTCGGGATGTTGGATGAATGAAGTGAAATGTTAATGTACTTTTCAAGAGACTTTTTTTTTCCTGTTCCATGCCTTCGTCCAAATAAAGGGATTTGCAAAAGAGTTATTGTGATTTCACCAGCCATGGTTGAACTCAATATCAAAAAAAAACACAGACTGCTTCACAAGTGGGATTTGGGTTCTTCCCTTTTGTCTCCCCCTGTCCACCACCACAAACATAACTCAACGTGCATAGACTGACCTGCTATTTTATCAACATGTTAAGCAAGGGGAAAATACTCACCAAAACTGTTAATGTTTCTTTTGTTCCTCAGTTCAAAATTCCTATAATAAAGGATGTAGTGTTGTTTATAAAATGAATCAAATTTCAAAGCGTTTTAACTTTGCTAAAATGGTAAATTCTTTGAAGACAAACGGATACCATGAATATTTTCTTAGGTTCACAGTTTTTTTGTGATCACTGTTTTTCGTCTTTGTGTATTACGACAACTTATTAGAAGCGACACAAGCTTCTTTTTCTCTTAGCAAGTCTACTTGTTTTGTATAGATACATTGGTTTAGTTGAATGAACAAAATACAGAAATAATCTAAAAACTGAAAGAACGGCGGATGCTGTAAATCAGGAACAAAAACAAAGTTGCTGGAAAAGCTCAGCAGGTCCGGCAGCATCTGTGAAGGAAAAATCAGAGTTAACGTTTCGGGTCCGGTGACCCTTCCTCAGAACTGAGGAAGGGT